TCTATCTATCTATCTATCTATCTATCTATCTATCTATCTATCTATCTGAAGTCCACAAGTCTTAAAGCTGTCAAGTTTGAAGACCCCTGATCTACATCAGATCTATCTATCTATCTATCTATCTATCTATCTATCTATCTATCTATCCATCCATCCATCCATCCATCCATCCATCTATCTACCTACCTACCTATGTACCTACTTATTTAATCCAAGTATCTTCAAACTTGGCAAGTTTAAGACTGGTGGACTTCAACTCCCAGGATTCCTGAGCTAACATGACAGGAGGAGGAATTCTGGGAGTTGAAGTCCACCAATCTTAAAGCTGTCAAGTTTGAAGACCCCTGATCTCAGATGGGCGCACTTCAACTCCTAGAATTCCCCAGCCAGCTTGGCTGGCTGGGGAATTCTGGGAGTTGAAGTCCGCACATCTTAACAGGGTTCCAGATGATCCCATGACCCTGGGACACTGCAACCGTGATAAGTCCATGCCAGTTGCCAAGCATCCAAATTTGGATCACGTGGCCACGGGGACGTGGCAACGGTCGTTACGTGTGAAAAAGGATCATAAGCCACTTTTTGCAGTACTGTTGTAACCTCAAAACGGTCACGAAGTGATTCGTTGCCCATTGAGGACTACCTGCAGCCAAGAGTGTTCTTGTTTTTGAAGCATCATAACAAACCTTTTAAAACATTGTGGGGTTGCTTCCTCCCCGTTTTCTCTCCATCCAGCAAGAAGCACTTTAAGAAATGCATCAATTTCATTCATTCCTGTCGGCTGCAAGGAGGAACCTGCCTCGTTCATTGGTAGGTAGAAAAATTGAGAGGCGGTGTGTGAGATTTGTGGGTTTGGGGCAAGGTCGGCAACCTGTGGCTCTGGAGCCGCATGTGTCTCTTTCATTTCTCTGCTGTGGCTCCCTGTCGCTCAAAATATATGTCACAACCACCAATGTGCGACACCCTGCCTGCACGCAATTTATCAAGCTTTTCAACACACACACACACACACACGCCGGTAGGTTTTGTGGCTCCCGGTGTTTTATTTTCTGTGGGAAATGGATCCAAGTGGCTCTGTGATGACCCAAAAGGGCGTGGCACAAAGGCAACACAGTCAAATAAGCAAGAAGAGTCCCTTTATTATCTCCAACTGTGCCCTCAATGTCCAGGTTACCTTTGGCTGGAGAAAAACTCTCCCAGGAACAGCCTTTAACTGGAGAAAATTCAGTCCAAAACATGAGCAACACAAACTGTAACTTAAAAGTCCAAACAAGCCAAACTGAAATAATTAGTTTGGCAGGGCAGGAGCAAGAATTCCAGACTTGAAAGGCACAGCAAAACACAGGTGGGAAGATGCCAGGAACACAAATAAGCCACGATGATATCTGATAAATTCATGATTTGATCCCAACAGCTTGCTGCACACAGCTTCCCTTTTTAAATACTGTATTCCCAGCTGCAGTCAATGAAGGGAATCCAGGCCCTTTCCTTCCCCGTAAGCCAGGCAACTCAGGTTGCTCCTTTCTTCATTCCTCCCTGCATGCCCTAGGATGATGAGGGGGTGGGCCTGGGTCTTCCTCCGAATTCCCTCTCCCTTGTTTTACCTCTCCCCTGCTCTGCCCAGCCGGACTTTGCCCTTCCCCAGTTTCTTCCACAGCCAACGGAGCCACATTCCCACTCCCTGTCAGCTGTTCGGCCTCCTCCTCTGAATCGGATTCTGATAGGGGCATGACAGGCTCTTTGAGTGTTGAAGGTTGCCGACCCCTGGTCTGGGGGACAGAAAATGTCCAGGACCCTCAAGATGGGTTCATGAAATAGGAGAAAACAGTGTTTCTCAGCTTTGAGATGGGTAGACTTCAACTCCCAGAATTCCCCAGCCAGGAATTCTGGGAGTTGAAGTCTACCCATCTCAAAAGTTGAGAAACATTACGCTAAATCCTAAGCCATGGTTTTATTGTGGTGTACAGAAGAAAGCACAGTTTTATTATATATTCATTTGATTCTTTTTTTATTAGTGTTATTGTTTTAAATGAGGTTTTATATTCTGTAAGCCGCCTCGAGTCGCCATGTGCTAATAGGCAGCAATATAAATTTAATAAATTAGATAAACCCAAATAAGTTTGTCCTTCAGGCTAAACCATAAGCCGTGATTTACAAACAAACCTAGATAATTTTTATTCTTTGTACTAAGCCATGATTTATTACCAAAATGGGTGAAATTGCTAAGCCATAATAAAGATAAGTTGGTTTAGACTTTATGCTAAAATATAAACCATGATATATGAACAAAAGGGCCATAAACTCACTTGACTCTAGCCGTAATTCTGATGGCTTGGGTTAACATATTTTATTAACCAATAAGCCATGATTTACAAATCTCAATGGTTGGCTTTATTCTTTGTATTAAGCCATGATTTATATATGCCAAAGTGGGTGTAATCACTAAGGGATGATCCTGAATAAATGGATTCAGACTTTATGCTAAATTATAAGCCATGATATATGCATCAAAGTGGCTATACTCATATGTGACACTAGCCATCATCTAGATGGCTGGATTCACATGGAATACTAAACCATAAACTATGATTTATGAAGCCAAATAGCCATGCTCACACTTGACATTGTTGTAATCCAGATGGCTGGGTGCACATTTCTTACTAATCAAATAGCCGTGATTTACAAACCTGGATCATCGGCTTTATTCTTTATACTAAGCCTTGATTTATGCACCAAACTGCGTGTAATCACTAAGCCATAACCTAGATGGGTGGGTTGAGATTTAAGCTATAAACCATGATTCATGAACCAAGGTGGCTGCATACATACCATAATCCAGAAGGCTGGGTTCACACTGGTTACTAAATGATATATGCCATGATTCATGAACCAAAGCGGCCATGTTCTCAGTTAACAAAATAGAATAGAGTAGAGCAGAATAGAATAGAATAGAATAGAATAGAATAGAATAGAATGGGACCTTGGAGGTTTTTTAGTCCATCCCCGTTCAAGTAGGAGACTTTATACCATTACAGACAAATGGCTTCCAGTCTCTTCTTAAAAACCCAAAGTGATGGAGCTCCCACATCTTCTGGTGGCAAGCAGTTCCACTGGTCGATTGTATAATATTAAACCACTAGCTCGAAACCTGTGCTTTGCTACGAAGCTGCGTGGTCGGGCTTGGTTTTGGGGGAGGAAAATAATGAAAAAAATAATAATCTGCCTCTGCCTACCAGCATCCATTGGTATTCATCTGGCTAGCGTCCTGTCAGTGAGTTGAGGGCTGTTTGGAAACTGAAACAGTATTTGCTATGTGAGGAAGAAGGAGACAGCAAGGAGCCTGGGCGTGGCTTAGCTCAACTGTTCTGTCCTAAAGCTGCTCGGTGCTGTGAAACTGAAATGAAAACTCATCTCTTCTGCTTGTATTTTGCCTTTGGAAGATATTTCTTTTCAGGTGGGGAGGGGGAGTAGAACTCCTTAGCGTCAGAGCGTGTTATTAATAATAATAATATAGGAAATACTCTAAATGCTCTGAGGGTCATTTGGCAAAATCCTTTCTTAGTGAACATCTAGAAGCTAAGAGGAACATTTGGGCCAAATTTCAAATTTGTAGGCTTTACAGTTCTGGAGATATTGCAATGATGCATGAGTCGTATTTCGCTTTTTTATACATAGAAGGTAATAATCTGCATGGCTGGGTTCGCACGTTCTACTAACCCATGAGCCGTGATTTACAGACCAACATGAGTGTGTTCACACATTACACCCAGCCAAAGTCATACTGATATACAAAATGGGGACACCCAGCAAACGTTCCTGGCTACTCAAGAGACTTTTGTGGTGCCCCGTCCCTCAGCCTCTGCAGGGCAGCCGGCAAGGAGAAAGGGTGTCCGAGGGCAAGAGGGCTCCGGGTTCTAATCCTGTCCTTCAACTCGCCTTCCAGCCTAGCTGGGATCTCCCGCAGCACCACCATTGTCCTGGCTTACCTCATGGCGGTGACACAGCTGAGCTGGCTCGAGGCCCTCGAAGCGGTCAAGGCCGTGCGCCCGGTGGCCAACCCCAACCTGGGTTTTCGTCGGCAGCTGGAGGAGTTTGGACGTAGCCGGTCTGTGCAGAAGGTGAGGCGTAAAGGCCTTGTAATTGTCCAGGTTGTCCTCCACTTATGATGACGGCCACTGGATCGCCATCGCTAGGCAGTGCAGTTGTAAAGTGAATCACTCCGTTTCACCCGGTTTTGCTGTGGAGGCTGTTAAGCAGGGTTGGGATTCTAACGGTTCAGAACGGTTCTATAGAACCGGTTGTTACGATTCTGTGCAGTTCCAAGAACCGGCAAATCGCGCCACTGGCTGGCCCCTCCCCCCTCCCACTCACTCCTTACCTGGTATGCGCGCCATCCGACTTGCCTGCGTGGTGCATTCGCCTAATTTTTGGTAAGTTCCTATTTTTCCTTTTTTTCCCCCCCCGACTATCAGCTGTGCCAGGAGATTTAGATTAGTTAGAAAGCAGGAAACAGTTTCTTGCTTTCCAGCTAATCTAAAAACAGAGCTGAACCTTCCTAGCTTCTATTTGTCAGTGGAGACTCAGGCAGCCGATGGCAGATAGATAGATCACTGAATGAATCTGTGATTCTGGGAGCAACTCAATCTGCCTGCCTGCTTGGCCTGATTTTGGGTAAAAGTTGCTCTCTTTTTTTTATAAAAAAATTCAATATTTACATAAATATTTACAATATTTACATACAAGCCACGCTCAGCCAGTCACATGACCACTAAGCCACTCCCACAAATTAGGCCAGGCCCACAGAGCTGGTTGTTAAAAAATTTGAATCGCACCCCTGTTGTTAAGTGAATCGTACAGTTAAGTGAATCCGTCTTTGCCCCATGGACTGAGCTCGTCAGAAGGTCGCAAAAAGGGGATCGATTGCATGACCTCAGGATGCTCCAACCATCGTAAATGTGAATCGGTGGCCAAGCAGCTGAATTTTGATCCTGTGGGGGGGGAATGCTGCGACGGTTGTAAGTGTGAATACCAGTATAGACCTCGTCTTAACAGCCACAATTGAGCCCGAAATTTGCATGGTTGAATCGGACGACTTGTTAAAGTGAGTGTTGCTCCATTTTACGACTTTTCTTGCCACCATCGTTAAGTGAATCGCTGCGGCTGATTAAGTGATGAAGACAGTTGTTAAGTGAATCTGGCTTCCCCAATGACCTGGCTTGCTAGCAGGGCTCAAAAGGGGATCACCCAGCCCGTCATAAATATGAGTCAGTTGCCAAATGTTTCTATTTTTAGGTTTACAAGTCCTCGACTTACAACCATCCACTTGTACAGTAGTTACAAAGGCACTGGATAAAAAAAGCGACTGAGGATCATTTTAACACTTAACGTCCGCTGCGGCATCCCGTCATCCAAATTCAGACACTTGGCAACTGACTCATATTTACGACGGGTGCAGCATCCCCGGGTGGAGGGGGGTGTCATGGGAATCCCCTTTTTAGCGATGAGGAGAGTCAGCGGGGAAGCCGGATTCATTCCACAACCAAGTTCCTGACTTAACAACTGCAGCGACTCGCTTAATGACAGTGGCAGGAAAGGTGATACAATGAAGCAAAGCTCGTTCTTGGTTAGCAGCGGACATTTTGGGGTCGATTTGGGGTTGTCAGTGAGGGTCCCATCCATAAAGCAGGCAGCCCCGAATAAAACAGTCCCCATTGCTTTGGGGGGTCAAACACAGAGGAGTCCTGGGACCCCCTTGCTGTCTGTGGGCATTGCCTTCCCCCCCCCATGCCTTGCAACGGGAGTTTAGCCCACCCATTTGGAGGGCACTGGGTTGGCGAAGGGGGCACCGGGTTGGCTTCCTTCCTGAGAAGCAATGCTGCTAAGGAACTCATAGGCAGACAGATAGTTCTCACTTCCTGTGACCTGGATGATGGCGATGAGGATGATCATCATCATCCTTAATTACTACTACTAGTAGTAAAGATTGGTCTCTAGCACTGCTTTTCAAACATGGCCACTGCAAGATGCGTGGACTTCAATTCCCAGAATGCCCCAGTCAAACATGCCAGCTGGGGGATTCTGGGAGTTGAAGTCCACCTCCTATCTCTAACCTCTGGCTGGGGCGTTCTGGGAATTGAAGTCTAACTCTAACCTCTAACTGGGGAATTCTGGGAGTTGGAAGTCTACCTCCAATCTCTAACCTCTAACCTCTGGCTGGGGCATTCTGGGAGT